GAACTGTTCTCTGTCCGGTTTTGGGATTAAGGTGATGTTGGCTTCATAGAACGAGTTTGGAAGGGTTGCTTCCTTCTCTATTGTTTTGAAGAGCTTGTAGAGGATTGGGGTTAGTTCTGTTCAGAATGTTTTGTAGAATTCTGTGGTGAAGCCGTCTGGGCCTGTGCTTTTTTTCGTTGGGAGATCCTTGATGACTGTTTCAATCTCTGCCTCGGTTATGGGTTTATTTAATTCTTCAGTTGCCTCCGGACTGAGTTTTGGTAAGTGGTGAGAGTCCAAGAACTTTTCTATTTCTTGGTGATCCTCAAATTTGTTTTTTTGTTTTTTTTTTTTAAAGATTTATTTTTATTATTATAAAGGCGGATATACAGAGAGGAGAGACAGAGAGGAAGATCTTCCGTCCCATGATTCACTCCCTAAGTGAGCGCAATGGCTGATACTATGCCGATCCGAAGCCAGGAGCCTCTTCCGGGTCTCCCACGCGGGTGCAGGGTCCCAAAGCTTTGGGCCATCCTTGACTGCTTTCCCGGGCCACAGGCAGGGAGCTGGAAGGGAAGCGGGGCTGCCGGGATTAGAACCGGCGCCCATATGGGATCCCGGCGTACAAGGCGAGGACCTTAACCACTTGCGCCACCAGGCCGGGCCTGATCCTCAAATTTGTGGGAGTACAGTTCTTTGTAGTAATTTCTAATTATTTTCTTAATGATTGCAGTGTCTGTTGTTATGTTGCCTTTGTCATCTTTAATGCTATTGAGTCTCACCTTCTCTTGTTTTTTTTTTGGTCAATCGGGCCAGTGGAGTGTCTATTTTGTTTATTTTCTCAAAAAAACAACTTTTTGATTTGTTGATTTTATGTATAGTTTTTTTTATTTCTATTTGGTTTATCTCCTCCCTTGTTTTGATGATTTCTTGTTTCCTATTGTGCGTGGGACTCTTCTGCTGCTGTTTTTCCAGATCCTGGAGGTGTGTGGTTAGTTCCTGTATTTGGCGTCTTTCTTGGGCCTTGACATGGGCTCCGATTGGGATGAATCTACCTCGTAGCACTGCTTTGGCGGTGTCCCACAAGTTTTGGAATGTTGTATCAGAGTTTTCATTGGTTTCCATAAATTTTTTTTATCTCATCTTTAATTTCTTCTCTGACCCATTGTTCATTTAATAGCATATTGTTCACATCACCTTAATCCCAAAACTGGACAGAGAACCATCAGAGAAGGAAAACTACAGACCTATTTCTCTGATGAACAT